AGTGCATGACCAATATTATCATGCCAATATTGACCAAAATAAAGAGTGACAGAGGAGATTATCTTTGGATCAATGACAGTGCGAACAAATTTTTCAAGATCAGAATATGAATCAAAAACGCGTTCCTTTGGTGTTGTAGGCCATAGTACAAATGCGTCTATTCTTACAGAATATGTAGGTAAATATGTTCCTTTTACTGTTAAAACCATAAATTCACTATCAACATAATATAAATTATGATACAAACAAGATTGATTATATAATGAACCAACACATTGAATCGTAGTTTCTAGTGTTTTATTATGATGAATAAATTTTGAATTTGTATAAGTCAAAGCATGTTTCTTGCTTTCCTACAGTAAAGATTTTTCGAATAGTGAAGATATCAACTTGTTTTTTGCTATTACTAACTTTTAAGTAATGTTGTTCATCAATTTGGTTCTTCACAACTTTCAATACATTTGGAATTAGTGACTTTATGTTTTCTTTTCGTGGCATTAAATTTTTGGAAATAAATATAATAAGAATTATAAGAGTAAGAAGTAATAAGAAATAAAATGTTGAACGGATGAATTTTGTTTTTCTAATTGCTTTTGACATAACTTACACTAATCTGAAAAAAACATATAAAACTTATTCAAGTTAAATTTCAAGAGTTCCTTAAATATGTTTCTTTATGTACACTTCTGCGATCATTCAATTAATGTTATTGATGTGTTTCATCGAAATAAAGAAAAGTCTGGTTGTGTTCAAAGATACGTTCATATCATGATACACATCTTCAGATCGCAACTAGCTAACATGATCTTATTCGGTTTATTAATAATCCGACATTATTGAGCTGTTGACATTCTACCGGATCCAACAGTACGCCATCAAATGGAGAGTAAAATTGTCGACTAATAATATTATTTAAAAATATCTTACAAAGTTTGTTGTATTGTTTGAACCAAGTGAATGAATACTTGGTTGTCAAGTATGAAATCTATGATATGGGTCTGTCTCATTCGAAAATAACAACTTATTCATTTACTGACACTAGCGTGGTCGATGACTGACATCCAATCATCTACATCATAACTCTTATATAAACTACTTTTGCTTTATAATAGAAAGCATCAAGTGTAAGTAACACCAAAATAACGACTGTAGCGTGCGAAATTTGTAGTCGTCTGCCCTATGAAATTCTGAAAAAGGTTCCTGATCTTTGATGATGAATGCTATGGAAGAGTTGTTATCGTGTCTGCAGTCATCATGCAGGCTGAATCATTATAAAATGGTATTTTGATAATATATTAATCGTCGTATCATGTGTAGTATTTTGCAACGTGCAATATCAACTGATCGAATTGAATTGCATTTTTAAACTTATCAATTATGTCGTCAAGAGCTGCAATGAATGCTAGTTTATATATAGTATAGGAGTTAGAATCCTCTTACGAATTTGATTTGTCTAAAACGAAACAAAAATGACAAAATAGAGGATTGAGTAATGCTTCATGCGTGTAGCATCCTGTTTAATAAAGTTGGTACTCATCTGTTGTTAGATGATTTGATCATTCTTTTTAAATTGCTAGGAGACCATATGGTAAACTTTTCATGGTTTCGAAAATAATAATCCATCCTCTGTACTATTTGTGAAAGTAATGATACACTATTACAGGATAATTATGCTTATTGAAAGCACTGCGTTCAATTCCCTTTCGCTGCCATGACCAATGGTGGATCTATTGCTGAATAGGTTTCTGTTTACGCGTTTCATGACAAGGATGTCAATAAAGATCCATATTGCTACGGACTGAAATGAAAAATATATGAAGTCAAGGTTATTCTCAACTATCTTCCTGAGACCCATGTGAACTCGAGATTTTTTAATAAAATAAGTTGTTAATGTACTATTCTGAGATGACTGATTACGTGTCTAGATGAGATTTATGTTATGGTAAACGACTTGAATGGTGAATTCAATATAGAAACTAAATGTAGAGAATAGCATTCTTCTAGATCATTTATCAAGGTTCGTTTCTATATTATTTTCTAGGAGAAAAATAGGTAAACTTCGAATTTTGATTACCTATTCTTCGCACAGATAAATGCGATGTTTATCGGTGCATTTTTTCATGTCAGAGTTACAAGTAAGTCTTGACTACTCACGAATGTTGCACACTGTCTTCGATGTTGTGTTTCTATCACGATGAATAACTACGCAATGATTCATTTCATCATTTTACAGATTAAAGAGCCACTCAACCGCTTTTCTTTCTGTTTGCTCACAAAAAAATCAAATACAGTTTTAAATATTCGGCTGTTCTTTCTTCAATGAAACACATCAGAAAGCGTAAACAGAAATGACTGGATCCCATGTTGTGTTGCCTAGGATTTTTAACTAACAGAACGGAACGAAAGACGAACATGCAAATTCACTAAATATTTTTTTTCCATTTGCCGTTGGCTGTAAGATTGAATATTTTTGGAGACGATGTTCGAATATTAGGAATATGCTTTGCTCTGACTCGATAGAATAAAGTAAATGTAAAAAGTTTGGTGTATTTCTAATATTTATCTAAATTTGTCCTTATATATCTGCAATTGAAAATTGTTTTATGTACTATTCAATGCAGAATCTAAGGGACTACATTTTACTAAAAAAGAATTTAATTTTATATTACAATATTTAATGCATTATTATTCACTAATTACTAATTATAAGTAGTTATTATATAATATTTCATTTATTTTAACTTGCCAGTGTTTCAACAATGAACTGCAACTTCAAATCTAGCAAAAGTAGCGTGTCTTGAGATTCAAAATTTGCGTGCTCAAACAGCATGTTACTGTTTACTGTGTAGTATTCAATTCAAATGTTGCAATAGCTGCAAAATTTGAACGACATATTGTAAAGATAGTAGCAAAAATCCTTTGAAAGAACGAATTTTTCACTTCAAAACACGTTGGTTTTGCCAGATCTACAGTTTAAGTTCATAGTTGAATTTTATTTATTTAAAATAATGAACGTTAAGACTTAATGAAACTGAAAATAGTCTTATAATCTTACTGAGATAATTGATTGTAACATAGTAATTATATGATTTCATTCAATTTTTAATCATCTTTCATATGAAGTAAGGTGCGCGCAGTGCAAAAGTCGAGCAGAAAACAAAATCCAA